CCCCAAAACCCCAAAACCCCAAAACCCCAAAACCCCACAAGTGGGATCTTAAATGAAGTAAGACAATAATTTAAATAAATTTGAATCTGAAAATGTCTTCAGAAGAAGAAAAGGAGGTAAAGGAAAAGAAAGAAGAAAGTAAGTACATCTCTTTCTTGCTTAGGAAATCTCGTACAGTTGATGTTAAAACATCTTTACCTTAATCTGGCATTCCACCCTGCGAGGGGTAAGGTGGAGAGGAACAGTCTACGAATTATTTCGTTGGACTAATTATGATCATCAATATACTCACCTAAGTCCTTAGCTTGATATTTTTTGTAGCATAAATCGTCCCAAAAATTCCTTTCTGATGAAACCGATACCGGTGAAAATCTTACATTCTTAAATGTTCTCATAACTCTTATTTTTAGAGAAAAAGAAAGAAATAGGGGAGGTTCACAAAGCAGTTGACGATGTGATAATCAAGCCAGGTGATTACCGAATCCAAGTCCAGCTTCTTGAAGCTAAAGAGATCATTCCACATAAAAGTATTGGGATGTCAATATTTTCAAACAATGAAGGTTCATGTGATCCAATTGTAGATGTTAAAGTGGCTGGGCAGAGTAAGAAATCAGAGCATCAGAACAACACTCTAAGCCCAATATTCAATGAGACTTTGTATTTTGAATTGAATAAAATGTCAGAGACTGAGCTCGAGCAAGCAGTTATTGATCTTTCTCTTTATGATTACAATGCGTTATCTACGAATTCTTTTATTGGAAAATTTACTATAGATGCTGCTTATATCTACCAGATGAATCCCGATCATGAGCTGTACAGGAAATGGGTCATTCTTACAGATACAACTGATGCAACAGAAGGAGTCAAGGGATATCTAAGAGTAACTATCAATGTCCTTGGCCCTGGAGATAGACCTCCTGTCCATAACGAAATGAAAGATTTGAAGAGTAAAGGAGATGACGGTGAAAATAATATCTTCTCTCCTGGCCATGTCGAGAAAAGAGGAATGCTGATGAAGATGAACTTGTATAAAGCAGAGCATCTTCCTCCTACAGATCTGTACAATAACAAGACTGATTCCTATGTGAAGGTTTCCTTTGCAGGAGTTGGAATCAGATCTAAAGAAGTGCCTGATGAGAGAAATCCTGTTTATAACCAGCAACTGCAGATTCCAGTTGTTTTACCGTGTATGAACAGCAAGATCAGGTGTGAAGTATGGGATGCAGATTGGGGTCGAGATGAACGAACAGGAACTTTCATAGCCACTTTTCCTACTAACGACAAAGATAGAAAGCCAACAGAGTCCATGTGGGTCAATATGTATGGTCCTCCATTTGGAGTTATGGGAGATAAAGCTGATTATATGACAAAGTATTCAAATGCAGGAACTCATTATACAGGAAGAGTTTTGTATAGTCTTGAATATGAGGCTCGGAAAGATCCGAAGAAAAGTGTGGAGGATATTGAATTCGAGATTCCTGATAACCCACCTCCGAATCCTCCAGAGAGAGTGTATATTTTGCGTGTTGATTTATTTAATGGATTTGAACTTCCTGAATCTATCAGGAAAGCATCAATTCATATCACTTGTGGTCCATATAAAGCATCGTCTCCTGTAGTGAAGGTTAAAGAGTGTTGAGCAACTTGGAATCATGTCTTTGCGGATATGAAAATCACAGCCCCTGTGGAAATTTCTCAAATCTACGATGTAATTATATATCTTTCCACTTCTAAGAAAGAGAAAGATAGAATCTGCTTTCTTCGTATTCCAGCTAAAGATGCCTTGTACTCACTAAATCCAAATCTAGGAATTCAGAAGTTTACTCTGGTTGAGGATATTAGCAAAGATGCTATCGGAGATGAAGAATTTCCTGGAATTTTAAACATGAGACTGACACTCTTTGATAAAAATCCTATGCGAAGGCCTAAAAATGTTTTTCCTCCAGAGGAGAGAATGCATGAGTACTATCAAGATTATATACTTAGAGTGTACCTTTATATGGGAAGAGACCTTCCAGCAGCTGATGACACTGGGTTAGCAGATCCGTTTATTATCCTAAGGTGCGCTGGGGCTAAGAAACAGAGCACTACTAAAAAGGAAACTTTGAATCCTGGATGGTTTGAAACAGTAGAGATGAAAATAAATATTCCAAAAGTTGGAAATTCTATATTCCCTGAACCATCAGTGAGTCTTCTCTGTTATGATGAAGACTCTTTTGGTAGAAAAGATCTGTTAGGTCGAGCTCTGATGGAAATGAAAGGAGAACAGAAAGTTATAGAAGAGAAGAACAGAGAAGTCGAATATTCTTTGTTCTTAGAGCCCACTTGGCATGAGCTATATTTTGATGCTTTGAAGGAACAAAAAGGATACCTTTTAGCAGGATTTGGTTTGTTAGAGCCAGAAGTAGCAGAAAGTTATCCACCAATAAGTATTTTACCTCCAAGTATTCCCTGTACTTTGAGGGTGGTCTGTATTGGTATCAGAGATTTGATTGATTCAATCAATATTGTTCCATTAAAGAGATTAAGCTTGAAGTTTGATGTATCTGGAGATACTCATGAAGCTATGGAAAGTAATAAGCATCCAGTGAGATACAATTCATGAAACATTGGAGAGATCTTAGATGTTCCTATCGATATCCCACTAAATCCTCTCTATTCCCCAGTTCTATCTGTCTATGTGTATGACCATATTCTCGGCCTTATTGGTACAAGATTGATAGGAATCAGCCATATTCCTTTATCTTCAATAGTAAGAAAGACACTTAGAGGATTTCTTGAAAGAAAGAATAAACTTGGGTACAAAGAAAGAGACTCTCTTGAAAGATCTATCCAGTTTGGTAACCTATATTCCTTATTATATAGCTGAGCTCTCTCAAAGAGCAAGGACAGTGACAAACAACGAGTTTCATGGAGTAATGATGGATGAAGCTGCGCTCAACAAGTCCTTGAAAAAGCTCCAAATAATGATTGATAGAGGCCAAGTTGACCTAAACTCCTTAGTTAGTGGAATTACTGAAGAAAATGCGATAGAAGATGTCCTCAAGGACATGGAACGAAGAGATAAAGAAGCTAACGGCAGTATTAGTGGTCGGGAAATAGTCTATGAGTTCACAGACGAAGATTACGAAGACATTGAAAGTTACCTGAAAGAAGACCTGTCAATGAAAGAGAGCGAAGAAGAGGAATCTAGTAGTGAGGAAGTCTCTCTACACTCAAAAAGCTCTAAGCAAAGTGAAAGAGAAAGCACAATTAAATCAGATGACATTGTTCTTGAGAATGAAGAAAGTGAGTCAGAAGAGAGCAATGAAGAGGAAGAGTCAAGAGGGAGTAGAGGATATTCCAGGATCAGAGAAAAATCTCCTAAAAGTAATTTATACAGAGGTTAATTAGATTGCAAATAATTTTCTTTATAGAAAACAAGAAATCAAAGAAGAAAAAGAAAGATTATGAAAAACTAGATGACTCAGATTCGAGATATACCACCGAGACTCAGCCTAAATTGACTAATGACAAGAGTGGAGCTAACAATCTTATCAGCAAAAAGGGAAGAGAAAAAGGTATCCAAAGCAAGCAAACCATCGAAAGAGCCCTTTCTGGTTATTCACATAGGAAAGACAAAGTCAAGAAGGTTGCAATCCAGAAAATGCTGCATAACAAATTCAGACAGAAAGCAAAGGAAGATGCAATTGCTGCAGAAGAGAGGAAGAAGAAAGAGAAGGAAAAATATGAAGAAATTTACAAGAATGATGAGAAAAAGAAGAAGATGAAAAGTAAGTTGCTCATAAATACATTCTTATCATATTCTAGCAAAACGGAACAAAAAGATTAGCACTCCTGCTGAGGATACTGATCCTGAAGAAGACCTTAGTCTACTCCCTGATTATCTGGTAGACAGAGACATATATGAAGATGAGCTTGAGGAAGCCATTATCAAGAAAAAGCCTTTCAATCGCTCCAATATTTTATCAGGCCAAACCAGAGGTCAAAAGGGATGGTTCTTCAAGAAGGTAGTCAACACTCAAAGTGTTTCAGGAGTTTTGAAAGGAATTCCTGTCATCCAGATGCCTGATGATGATCCACAAGAACTCTACAATAAATATAAGAGATTCTTAGTGCCGACAAATCTGGTTTGTAGGGTTTACATACTCAAGGGTAAATCTCTGACCCCCAAGGATTCAAGGAACAGTGATCCATATATTATTATAAAGTGTGGATCTAAGGTGATAAATGACGAGAAGAATGTAATTGACGATACCAACAATCCTGGGTTCTACAAACATTTCGATATCAGCGTTTCAATCCCAGGAGCATCGACCTTAAAGATCCAAGTTTGGGATGACGACGGCATCGTCGGAGACGATCTGATAGGAGAAACTAAGATCGACCTTGAAGAAAGATGGTTCTCTAAAGAATGGAGAATAATTAATGATGCAGCCAACGTCCTTGATGAAAGAGAGTTTGAAGAAGAAAGTAAAGAAGAAGTTAAAAGCCAAGAAGCCAATCAAAACAAAGAATCACTTGAAGAGGAAAAGAAGGAAACACTCGAAGAAGAGAAGAAGGAAAAAGATGATGAAGAAGAAAAGGAGGAAAAAGATCAAGAGAAAAAGAAGGAGGAAGTTAAAGAAGTTAAGAAGAAGAATAGTAAAGAAGAGAAGAAAAGCCAGGCCAAGAAGAAAGGGAGTAAAGAACAAATTTCAAAAGTAAAGCCTAAGAGAATTATAAAGAAAATCCCTATTGAGGAGAGAACCTTGACTAGTATCACTTCAGCAGCTCCGCAAGGAATTCTTGAATGCTGGATTGAACTGATGAGTGCTAAGGAGGCAAAGCAGCGTACTCCTACTAATGTTTGACCATTCCCTAAAAAGCCAATGGAGATTAGAGTGATCGTTTGGGGAACCAAGGATGTCAAATTCTTGGACACTGCTGAGAAATGAAATGATTTGTATGTTAAAGGCATATTTGGTAAAAAGGAGCTAGAAACTGACACACATTGGAGATGTAGAGGAAATGGATCATTTAATTGGAGATGGAAGTACAAAACAAAATTCCCATTCGATTATGATGAAGAATATGGTCGAAACGTACTAACCTTCTCACTCTGGGATAGAGATGTTACCAAGTCTAATGAGATGATCTGTGAATGCAGACTTGATCTTAATGATTACAACACTTTAATTAAGTCTTACAAGAGGGGGAAGTCAGTAAAGATGCTTAAAAATCTTCCCAATAAGAAAAAGAAGTCCGACAGGATGTAAGTACCTAAGTCTAATCTCTAGGTGGCTGTTGCTGACGCATCCAGATCGGAGGGACGATATGACAGGGGAATATGTAAGTTTCCTAATAGTTGTCTTCCTAAATTACTCTTCAACTGTACAAATATCACTCATATATGCCATTGTTTTACCTTTTTACAGGAGCCACAAGGATATCTAGAAGTCTCAGTAGAAATTATGCCTCAAGAAGAAGCTGATGATAAGCAGAACGGATTTGGAAGGGAATCTCCTAACATGTTTCCTCACCTCCCAAAGCCTACTGGAAGGTTCCAATTTGATCTTTTCAGCCCATGGAAGATGCTGAAAGAGCTGCTAGGCCCAGCTCTTGCTAGAAAAGTCGCGGCTGTCTGTTGCTGCATCATCTGATGCTTGGTGCTATTTTTATTCTTTTACTTCTTTGGCTGGCAACTGGTGACCTCAATTATTTTCTAAAGAAATTTGGAATTCAATAAATCTCTGATGGCTTGGGGTTTTGGGGTTTTGGGGTTTTGGGGTTTTGGGG